GCAGGGGAATCTCATGATCATTTCAAACTGAATCGTGGAGCCTGTCAAGGTGACCCCATCTCTCCATATCTATTTATTATAGGCATGATAGGCACGAAAGTTCTTACCCAAATGTTGTGCCAAGCCTCAGCATCAGGACAAATTGAGGGAGTCAAAATCAATCGAAATGGAACTCCAAGTACTCATCTCCTCTTTGTAGATGATTGAGTTCTTTTTTGCAAGGCTGATATAGCACAGGTTAGGGTCCTGGTCAACATCCTACAAACTTTTGAATCAATGTCTATCCAAAAAATAAACTACTCCAAGTCGAGCATCTACTTTAGTAGGAACGTTTTCTGCCACCACCAAAGGTTTTTCTCCTACATTCTTCATGTCAAAAAGTCACTAGTAGGTACCAAGTATCTTGGTATCCAAGTGGGAACAAACACCCGCCTCTGTTGCTCTCACAAGAAGGTTATTAATAGGGTGTACTCAAAATTATGTTCATGGAGTTCTAAATTACTATTACAAGCTGGCAGAACTACATTAGTAAAATCAGTTCTACAAGCTATACCTATCTACCCCATGTCAACATCAATTTTGCCAAAATCAACAACTTCCTTACTTGACAAAATGGTCATATCCTTTTGGTGGGGTGATTCTCATAAAGCTTCCTGACATACTATTCCTTGGAGTAAATTATGTCAGCCTAAAAGTCAAGGAGGTCTTGGATTCATATAATTTGGTATTATGAATCAAGCAATGTTTGGCAAACAGATCTGGAGATTATTAATAGACAGACAAGGGTTCTGGAGCGAGTAGATCAAGTCCAGGTACTTCCCTCACATCTCCTTTGCTGCAAAAAAAAGGTAAATGTAGTTCACAATAGTGGCAACAAGCTCACTAGATGGCATTGGTGCTACGATCAAACCTGTTGTGGTCAATCAAGAATGGTACAGAAATTTTAGTAAATTCAGACCCTTGGATTCCCTCATTGCCAGGTCACATACCACTTCTGAATACATCAACACCTCAATCCCAAGGGCTCGATCTAAAAGTTTTGGAATTACTTAATCCAAAAGGTTCTTGGAACCTCCCAAAGTTGCAACAGCTGTTCCAAGCTTCCACCATCCAACACATTTTGGCAGTGACTTCGGAGCCTAGCCAATCCGCCGATCTACTAATATGGAAATACAATGCTTCAGGTATTTACTAAGTTAAATCAACTTATCATTTCCTCTCCTCACTAGTGGCATCGACTTTGAACACCCATTTCAACTAGAAGCTAACATGAAAACTAAAGGTACCTTACAGATTTCAAATCTTCCTTTGGAAGATTCTTTGGGATGGTTTACTTACAAACTATAAATGTTCGGCTTCGTTGAGTGAATTAGATCGACTTTGTATCTTCTATAAGCTTTATGAAGAAACAGTTCACCACTTATTCTTCAATGCCCATTTGCACAGGCTGTTTGGTGTGGTGCCCATATCGGATTGAACCCCTCTTCCATATCTCAACACCCCATACATACTATCATCACGAACTGGTTTACATTGTTAAGTGCAAACCTGGGAAAGCAATGAGCTTTGTTGAGTCTCAACAGATTTTCTTTGATCATCTATCATATATGGGAAGCAAGTAATAAGCAACTATTTGATTATATCAACCAAGATCCTATGCAGGTGGTAAACTTAGCACTAAAATTCCAGCTGGAGTATTCAACGTATAGGACTCGACAACCCCGTCTTCAACCGTTAGCTCCCAATAATATACCCTCTTTATTTACTAATGGCTCTTTTAATCCAGATTCAGGTACTGCAGGACAAGGGTTCATCCTCCAACATGCCAGTGAATAATATACCATTGAATGTAGACCTTCATGGGCTCTCACAAGCTATGATGCTGAAATTTGAGCCTTGTTAAGAGGATTACATGTGGCTCTATCAAATGGCATCACACATCATTTGGTACGCTAAGACAGTGCTGCCTTAGTGGATTTTGCAAATACAAATCGGATAACTCACTGGTTCGAACATTTGCACAGAAGTCATCTGAGACAACTAATAGACTCTTTTGATTATCTATATTTTGTACATTATTTTAAGACAATATAACTAGGGAGTCCATCTTTTCCTGTAAGGGACAGATCAAGTTGCACTATAACTCCAAACACTCCTCACATGTAATATTTTCTATATGAATTTATATTCCTCTCTTTACTAAAAAAACTAGAGTGAAACTAGCAGTAGAATTGAATATCTTCATTCATTTTGAGCTATTTTGCTTCTAGGTATTTCATCTTTATAATGATCAATTGCCCTGGCGTCTTCAGTTAATTATGGCAAAAAAAAATAAATAAATAAATAGCCTGACTCTCTAATCAATGTGGTTTCAGCCTTGATAAGAAAAAGAAATATGGAGAAGAAGAAGGACCTCTAATCGGATGGTGGCAAGGGAAATTTGATTTGAGGCATTGTAGTAAATGTATATCGGAACAGCTAATTCCAACGGTAAAAGTGGTATTTAAAAAACTAAATTCTATCATGTTTATATAATGTCTAGCATTTTCCATTGGGGTAGATAACAGAAAGGAAGTAACTGTACATAGCATTAATCTTTTGAGAGATATCCCCAATTTTTTTTTTTTTTTTTTTTAAGGCAATGGCTTATTTTATTAAGAATGCTCAGAATCTCAAATACAATCCAAAAGTAGCAACCGCTCAACGTAGGGATGTTAGTAGGGAGTTCGCGTTGTAACGCGTCATTCTTTTGGGGAAACATGTAAAGGTAACAAGAGGTGGGTTAATACTCCCGTTATTCATTTTTTTTTTTTCAAACATAAAAACTGAAAAAAAGCATTTTTCAACAAGTCCTCTCTATTTTTTTGGTCCTTTCTGTCTGTGTTTTGGGGATGAAGAACAATAAAGAGGGCAAAGAAGGATTTCCGCAAGTCCTATATCCTTTATTCTTTAGATGGAAGACAGATTCTCTCTCTCTAAGTTTTTGGGTGAATGGATTTAAATAGGGTGAAACTTATTTTTTGAATGGGTTTTAAACTTTTAGAGTGAAAGGTTTTGAAAAGGGTAAAATTTCATAAATAGTTTCTTGAGCAAGAAACTTCTATGAGATTTTGAACGGGGTAAAACTTCTATAAGATTTCAAAGATATTCAAAGACAATCAAAGCCTTCATATATAATTTATTGGAGTATAGGGGCTTGTTTTAAATAAGAAAGACAACAAACTATCAGGGATTATGGAATTGGCGTGATATTATTTAATATGGTCTGATTAATACCGTATAAGAAATTCAAAGCTTCTACGTAATTTTAATATCTTCAAAGACATTTGAAGCCTCTATGCTCAACTATTAAGGTATAGGGGTTTGTTTTGAGAAAGATGTTTAAAAACTATCAAAATTTATGAAGTTGGTGTCATATTGTTTAATATGGGCTAATTAATACCGTATAAGAAATCTATGTGATTTTAGATACATCAAAGGCATCCAAAGCCTCCATGCTCAAGCCATAATAATCATTGTTTGTGAGAACTAGGAAAACTCTTCTTTGTCTTTTTTTGTTCGTGTTGTTAGGAGGAAGATTTTCAACAATAGAGCTAAATAATTGGAGAAACAAATACTTGAGCATGTGAGGACTTCAAGAATGTTGGAAGATAAGCGTTTCAATAGGTTCTATGTTCTATCTGTTCATCCGATGGAAGACATAAATTGGTTGTTTTCTCTCTTTGACCCTTTTGATGTGGGCAGAAAGGTTTTGGACAAGGTAAAATTTCATAGACTTTTAGGGCGGAGGTTAAAAGATAATTTTTTTTTTCATTTTTGTTTGAAAAAAAGGAAAAAAAAAAGAAATAACAGGAATGTTAACCCACCTCCCATTACTTTTACATGTCTCCCAAAAGAGCAATATTTTACAATGCAAATGAAAGTTAAGCTCGCATTGTAACAACAAAATGTGTAGCCCATCCGGTCTTGTTAGTGGGTCAAATTAAATGGTTAACCTAGTTTGACACATATAGGGTCAGGTTAGGGTCAATATATTTGGCTTTAAGGTCAGGTTAGGGTTTTGATTATTCAACTCGAGTCGGGTTCGGGTTTTAGCTGACCTGCCCGCCAGGTCATGGTACCCTGCATTTATACAAAGTATTTTTGTAATTTTTTGACTTTTAATTTTATAGCTTTAAAGTTTAAGACTTATTTACATGGTTTTGATTTTTTTTTTTTTTTTTTACATGGAAAAAGTGACATCTTCGATTCTATAAAGGGAAAATTTTTGATCATACCCTGTACTTTGGCTCGAGTGATAATTTGGTCCTCGAACTTTAAAATGTGACAATTCAGTACTTGAATTTTCAAAATATGACAATATAGTGCCTGTTGTTAATCGACCCGTTAATAAGCCGTTAAGTGACATTTGAAAAGTAAAAAATGCCCTATGAATGCCATCTAATTCTCTTTATCAACCATTCAAACATTGACAATAAAATGAACAGTCTCAAATTCTAAATTCTTCTAAACAATCACAAACTTTTTTAAATAGATGATGCTAGGTTTTGGTATTGCTCAGTTTTTTGTCAATGTTTGGATGGTTGATAAAGAGAATTAGGTGGCATTTGAAGGGCATTTTTGACTTTTTAAATATCATTTAACGGCTGATTAACGAACAATTAAGTATTGGATTGTCACATTTCGAAAGTTTGAGTACTAGATTGTTGCGTTTTAAAATTTGGGGACCAAATTGTCACTCCAGCAAAATTACAGGGCATTGACCGAAAATTTTTCCTTCTATAAAACAATTTCCTAACTTAAATTAAAGGATTTTAGGTTTTTAAGACGCGTTTGTATCGGGTTAGACCCTATAGGGTCGGGTCAGGAATGGAAAACATTTTTCTTAAGGCGGGTCGGGGTCGAGTTGAGACAAACCCGTGCCAAATCCGACCCGTTGACATCCCTAGCTCAACGGTTCAATTGGCTCTCGCTGTGGAGGGGAAGCCCCATTTCTTCCATTTCACTTCTCAATTGTTTTATTTTAAGAACATTTTCTGTATTTCTCCTCCGCTGCCGGCTTTCTTTCTGGTTTCGGAATCCATTTGCAGGGTATGGTTTTGTTGGAATGCTGTAGGAACACTCCATTTGCGGGGTAGGGGCTTTCTGTCTGGCTTCGGAATCCATTTGCGCGGTAGGATTTTCTTGAAATGCTGTAGGAACCCTCCATTTGCAGGATAGGGTTTTGTTGTACTTTCCTCACAAGATTGAGTAAAAAAGAGTAGAACACTGATGTTATTCACATTTGGCAGATCTCTCTCCTCACTTCGCCCCTCCTCGTTGATGCTTTGCTGACTTTCGTTTCTAAAATGTCTGCTAACGTCGAAGAATTGGAGTTGCGGAACGACGAGAAATCGGAATTGGAGAATGGACGCGAACTTGGAACAGTAAAAGATTCAGATCCAAAACTAAAGATGGAGAGATTAGATCAGAAGAGGTAGAAAAAAATCTCCCGCGGTTGAAAAAACCGAGTCTGCCGGGCTTCAGAAAGATGAAGAGAAAAGCCGAATTTATACGATGAGAGAATTATTGAATGAATTGAAGGAAGATGGAAACGAGATTGCTGACGGAGAATTTAAGAGAGGTACCACTAGTTACGATGCAGACATACAGGAGTCAGAGGATGCAAGCTCTCCTCACAGGTTGGTCGTGCAGATCCGTTTGTTTAGTAGCTATGGGGTTCTGTTCTCTTATAGGAACTAATACAATGAAAGAATTAAAGAAATATGCGGATCATAATACACATAAATTGATTATGTGATCAACTTCCTAATAGGCTGTTTTTTTTGTCACCTTTCACTTTCTGATTTCCTTAAAAGACTCGTTGGACATTGTCTCGAACGTCTACCAGTGAAGGAGCATCATCGTTTCATTGTCTAGTGGATTTGTAATATGTTGAGATAGTGGGTACACCTCTACACTACTCATAACATTCACATAGGCCGCTGCTTGTTGCAAATTGATAGTTAGTCGAGTCCCTAACTCTACTTTGTTTCCATATACTGCTCTAGGAATGGGTACTTGCACATTGTCTCACTTTAGTAATTTATGTGTCAACAGTTGTAAAATATGTTTCATTTTTGGACAAGAACTACCTTTATTCATTGTCCATAAAAAATAAAAAAAAAAAGAACGAGCTATCTTGTCTTCATGTCTCCCAGTTTTTAATGTAGTGGAGGATGGTTAGTTCTAGAACAAATAATATAAGATTGTGGTACCTTTGCTATCACGTATTAAGTCCTGCATATTCCTTTTTATTGAGCAGGATCATAATTGATGGTTTTACATTGCGCTGTTGGCCTTCTTCTTTTCTATCCATCTTTCTGTTGCGATAATAATCTGTAGTCATAATTGATTGGTTTCATGCAGACATGTGCTAAGTGTTTTATATGCTCATCTAACAGATTTAGCCAATGATTCACTGAATGAATGGGCTTTTGCTCAATTTTAAAATCACGCAAACTGCAAAAAATGAAGATCTTAACTAACAAACAAAAAAAAAAAAAACAAAAAGATAAACTAAGCATAATGTTTAGACTTTGACATTTTACATCAAATCCCATTGCATAGACTCTCTTTTAGTTATTTTTAATATACATGCACATGTAGAGTAGAGATGGAGGTTCTATTAGTTTTGGTTAACAGGTATATTGTTTTTCTCATTTGGTTTTTAAAACATTTCAGCCAAGAAGAAATGCAACAGAAATATATGGGCCAGAACAACATTGCCTTGGAGTTGATCAGTAATGTCATTGGTGTTGATAAGGAAGGTCATGCTCACCAACAAATTCTTTCTTATGCTGTTAAAAGGTATGACCATATTATTTGCTATGCGTTCTTTCCATGTTAGAGGGTTGGAGATCTTATGAATCAGTGTTTTTAACTATAGTTCTGCGATATAATAGCTTTTGTTACTACTTTCCAGTATAATTCTATTTCTGTTATTGATTAAAATGGAAAGATGGTTTTTCTTCAGTTGTCACTGCCAAAGATTCATATTTTCCATGAAAAACATAGTAAGAGAACTGCATTATTTTACACTTCATGTTTCCTCAGCTATTAGGAGCATCATAACTGCTTTTTATTAGTAACAAGATCAAAATGTGCATCATGTGATGTGAAGGAAAAACTAATGGTATAGCTGCTGCCCCATTTTTTGGGGGGAGAATGACGGTTCAGCCCAGGGTCAGAATTTGTAGGCCCAAAGTACAGTTGGGGTAGGTGCCAGCTCGGAATTGATGCCAATTCACAGGCGGGCATTGGTGTATAGAGTGGGGTTTTTTGATATTTTGAATGTTTATAGATCTGCAGTGGAATTCAGAAATCTGCATTGGGCCTGTCCGTGCTTTTCCGTTTTTGGGGACAAAGCATAAGAGAACATACTATATTGCACAGTATGCAAAACAGTACACAAAGCTATCCTTAGTGTGTGCCATCTATCTATATCTATATCTATATATCTATATATCTATCTATCTATATATTCTATATACATATAATATCAGATTAGATTTTATTAGTTCTCTTGACAGAGAACAAGATGGGAACAATATGGGGACCCCAAAATAGATATTGTGACTGGATTCTCTCTTTCAGGGGATTATCTGCTAAGGCATTTCCTATTTTGGTATCAGCCTGTATGAGCAGTTCAATCCAGTTGCTTAAAATTTCTCTTATCTTATAAGATATCTAAGGACCTGAGGGTCCCCTCCAATAAAATTCCAGGCTTTCCAGCTATTATTGTTTGACGATTGCCTTTGACAATAAATCTGTCCACACTAATTACAAACTTCCCTGTACTATGGCTGTTCATGCTGCTCTAATGGAGTCCCCATGACCAATTGGGCAGAGAATACAATGAAAACTTCACCATTCTCATCCCTGCATGCACCTCCAATGTTTGATGGTCCAAGAAAGCTACCTTGAATCACAAGTAATACAATGTGCTTCTCCCCATCCTCTCACTAGGCCATCAGAAATTGAGTTTCCTTATTAAGGTAGTGTGTAGTCCAAGAACCTTCTAGGGGCCATTACATGATGTAAAATTCTTGGGTTCACAAGCATGCAAACATGGGTTTGAATCTGAGAGGGGTCACTTAGTGCTAAAATTCTGGATCTTAGGTCCATACTCCGTTCATGCTTCCCAAGACCTTGGATGTTCTAGACTAGCTTTGTGTAATAACCAATATGGTCTTTTAGGATACCGAGGGAATATGGGCTTTGATTCTGCAAGGTTGTATGTACAAATCTGAGCCCAATAGGTTGTGGATGCTCTATTAAGGGTAATTGAGATAGCCCAACTCATTGCGAGCATGCCTGCGAACCCTTTGTCAAACTGACTTCAGGAAGAGGCCCAAACTGACCCAGAAAGATTTGAAAAGCATGCATCAGCCCACTATTATTGGAGTGTGATGAAGGAAAAGGTTTAGGTCCTTTAGGAATTTGTGGCCTCTTGCTACACTTGCCAGCAATAGAAGTATGAGGCATTGGATCCTATAGGGTTACTTTCAATCTCTCAAGTCGTATTGCTGTTATGGGAAGAAATCAGTGTGGATTTCGTATGTGGTCTTCCCCTTCAAACAATAAATCAGTTGGATTGGTCACAGTGGAGCTGCTGACAAAAAATGCCACTGATCAACCCTTCCACATACTTAAATTTTGATGCTAGTGGCTGAAGTAGAAAGCTGAATGGGATGCTTAAGATAGAAGACGTTTTTGTTGATCCTTACGATCTCCCTCCTACATGATGGCAAGACCCAGACTACCATTGTCCTAGTACTCCACATGCAAACTCAAGGCCATATAGATATTTTCATTATTAGAAGTCAGAAATTGAGAAGACAATGGTGAGCTCCTACCCAAGGGACAAATTCAACCATCAACCAGTCCCTGCTGATCATCAATTTTGCAATTCCAAAAGAAACACCACACTTGGAGGTTTTGCATGGAGTACCTTGCCCTCAATATATCATGGTGCAAAACCGGTTTCCAGTATTATAGTGGATGAGTTATGGGTGTGTTATGGGCCCGGGCGTAGGATCTCGTCACGGGTCGGTCCACGGGGAAAATCTCCTGTTTTCCTTTGTTCCTCCCCTTCCTAGCTGAACCTATCTTGGCCTCCTAGAGGGTGATTTGTCAAAGAGATCACCGAACTCTCCTTTTACTCTCTTTCTTGACTGGAAATTTGATATCCTCATTCAATAATAGGGTCTCCTTAAATAGGAGATTACAAGAGTCCTAATCAAAGGGAGTCTCCTTGCTGAATAGGGAGACTTCCAGTTCTATCTTGCTAAGGATAAGATAAGCTAATCCTAATCTGATAAGCTACTAACAAGATAAGATAAGAGCAATAGAATAAGATAAGAACAAGCAAAATGATCTAATCTAATCTGGATGAGACTGCTGTTGCCGAACTGGGTAGGATGAGAATCATCGAATCACTGCTGCTGCTGGCGGTGGGTCAGGTTCCTGTTGCTTCCGGCGGTGATGGTACGTCTTCTCGAGGAATGCGTCCATAACATTACTCCCCTCCTGGACTAAGAGCTTGTCCTCAAGCTCGAATTCAGGATATGTGGCCTGGAACTCTGTCAATGGGATCCATGTGGCTTCGGCCGATGGTAAGCTACACCATTCCACCAAGACTTCAAGAACTCCTCGATTGAAACGAGAGCGGATGACAGCTTTAGGTTGGGGAATCAGTTTGCCATCTTTTAGGGGTGGCAGGAAGGGGACTTGATCCAGAGGAACACCCGTAAATGGCTTCAGCAAGGAGATGTGGAAGACATCATGAATCCGGCTGGTCTCTGGCAGTTCCAGCTGGTAGGCCACACTGCCAATCCGTCGTAGAACCTTGAAGGGCCCATAAAACTTAGGGGCCAGTTTCGGAGCAACTATACTGGGACTAGTAATAGCTGCTCGGAGAAGCTGTTGTTGCTGTTGTTGATCATGTTGTTGCTTTTGCTGCTGTAGTTGTTGCTGTTGTTGGTTGTTTGGCTGCTGTGGCTGAGGGTGTTGCTGCTGCTGTGGACCAATAAGAGTCTGCTGCTGCTGTTGAGGCCATGACAGGGGTTGTGGCTGTAACTGATGAACTTGTGAGTTATATTGATTTAGTTTTGGAATATTGAACTAGAAA